CAGTTAGGAGCTTTAGAAACAGTAATGAGCTTGGCTGTAAAATGCCCTTATATAAATATAATTAACTTTATACTGTATGATGGCAACTCTTATGCACAGAGTGACTCTTTAATTGGAATAGGAAGAGAATCTAACCTGGCTGACACCTGTGGTTTAACTGCAGAGCCATCTTTTTCCTATGAAGTAGAGAATTTAAATCATGACTTATCTCCAGCTCTTGCTGTATACTGTCAGAAAGCAGTGAAAGAGGAGGTTAATGGATGCCTTGCTTTTATGAGACAAGAGAAAAAAATGAGGCCTTGGGAGGGACATCTGTCTTGTTCCATGTGCACTTAAAAGGTTTTTATTGAGGCATAAAAGCTTGCATTGTTCCATGCTTTGTCTTTTTGTTGCTTATCCAGGCAGTGATGTGCTGCCAACAATTCAAGAAAGGAATTTCTCAAAATATATCCTATTAACCGATCTTAAACCTCATGTATATGGTATGTGGGTACTCACAGAAGCGAAGGGAAAGAGAAGCGAGGAGTCTACTCCTCTTTCCCCCTTAAATCCAGAACAGTATTTACTGAAAGAGACAGTGACACTGAAGAAGCTGATTCATGTAACTGTACTTGACAGGCATAGATTACTGGGGGATGGTGGGGTGAGGGGGGTGAAGCACCTGAGTTTGCTAATGTTCAAAGTGTGATTTTTCAACTATGTCTTATGAACTGGGATGGGAAAAAAAGAAGTTCTCTAAGAGCTTTGGAAATGTCTGTTTTAGGAGCATTTTTCCTTAAATGCTTGGTATATCCTGGGTGCGTCTACTCAAATTTGTGTATGTGTGAACTTCAGTGAGCAATGTCAGAGAAGAAAGAGATAATTTGGTACTGTGACTGGAGGACAAAGTAAATGAAATGGTAAGATTACCTCCAAAGCCCGCTCTTCAGTTTGGTATAATAGTTTAAATGATTTCTACATTCTCCAATCTATGAAGCAAAAGAAAGAAATGGAATAGAACTGACTCAAAATCAGTAGTCTCTGCATATATGAATTATCTGGCCTCTTTTCTGCCTGCTACTTTATGTATATGTATTGAACTCTGGGAATAAATGAGGATTCATTAGTCAAATATTGTGGGCATGTGTCTAGGTGTCTAGTGACCCAGATGAACAAATTTGTGCAGTATAAACAATACTCTGGTAAGTACTGGACACAAAAAAGGTTCCCAACCTGGCCCAGAATTTGGCATAGCACCATCTTTCCCTTCATCTCCACTGGCTGTGTGACCAAAGGGACGATTCCATAATTAAATATCAAGTTCTAGTTTGTTATCCTGTTCTTGCTTTGACATAAGGCAAAGATAGCAACAGAGTGACTTGAGGAACTTGTTCAAGCAAAATCTGATGTTCTGCTTGAGGTTGAGTGTTGCAGTAGCACTGGGTACTTGTGTGGGCTTTTACCTGTGTAACATTAAGTGGTGTTGCAGGCGTTGCAGGCTTCCCAGATAAGGAATAGTAGAAAGTTTGAAATTCAGGGAGATATTTCAGCTTTCATTGCTTCTGCAGACATTTCATTGTTGAAAAATCCCACGATGGCAGACAAAGTAAGCAAGTGCTAAACTGAAACCATTGCTAGATTAGGAGATCCTGGACTGTGGCTTAAGCCAGTTCTTAATTTGTCTATGGTTTGTGTTAGGTAAAATAATGTTCTCATTTTGGTATCCTTGTAATACGCTGTCAACTAAGACGTGTCCCTGCTGAGACAAACAGTAAATCAATGGAGCTCAAGGACAGACAGTATGTGCATTTGGGAGTTTAGTTCTGAGAGAGTTTGCACTGAGAAATGGATTTTTGCCCAGGAAGTGTGCCAGCATGGGTAAGGAAACCAGGCGGTGGTGCTGGACCCTAAGGATCCAGGGTGCTGAACAACCCCAATATGCCCCATTATGAGGGTCCATCCAGGGCGGCACTGGGAGGACTCTCTGACATGGCTGTTTACACTGGAATGCTGCTTTTCACAGATAATACATCAATATCAATGTCAACAGTAGCTTCCTGTTTTCTGCAACAAAAGAAGCTGTGTGAACGAACAGGAAGGAGAGCTGCTGCCTCTCCAGCAGGCTCTGGTGGTCAGTACCGTACAGATGTTATGCAGCTTGCAGTTTGAGCAGCTGACTATCTCTGTAGTACTCAGACTGTTGCGTAGGACATACGATAAAATAGAAGTACTATTGAGAAGCCTACATTTATATAGAAACAACCCTATTCTGCATTTGTCCATAGTATATGCAGTATCTCCTCTCTCTGTCCTGTGGTTAGTGTGGTACTCCACAAATACAGAATTTCTAAATGTGTTTGATTAATTCCATCTTCTTCTTCAGTTTCTTTGCATTTTACCATAAGAAAACATGACATAAATACGGCCTTTATAAGATCTTTGCCCCATTTATTAAAAAGCATTAACATTCCATTTGCTGACTAATATCTGTTTTTCTCTGAGTGCATAGGTGAGAGGGCATGGTTTATATTTATATCTTTCTAAAAGAATCTCATGTCTCTTTGGTGAGTATTTGATTATTTTGGAGTGCTTGTATTTAAGAACTAGTTATTCAAAAGCTCATGAGCCAAGCATCTAATCAGCTTTTGAGGAAGCTTGAGAGTAATACCTTTCAGGAAAAGTTCACAATCAGTTTGAGGCTTTTATTGCTCGCTTGTTCTGTGCTGTACACATTAATAGGACTTGTGGATATGGGCATGGATCACCTGAAAGTCTCTCTAATCACAGAAACCATTTAGTTACTGCTTTTATGCCCACGTCATGATGGATGTTTTCTGAGTTTTCTGTCCAAACACAGACAGACACAAATACTTTCATGTTTTGCCGTTGGCTGAAATGCCTCTCTCGAGCCTCACCCTCATGCAACTTCAGGGGATTTGACACCAATAGAAATGTGTGGCACTGGCTGTGGAAATTCATATTTGGAGCTGCAAATCTTTATTTGGCAGAAGATGGGGAAGTTATGATTGCAACTTAGATTGCAGTGGTGATAAGTCAACTCATCAACTTCTTAACTGCTGTGAGGTTGCCATGGAAGTGAGTAGCACTTCCTGGTGACACTGTCAGCAATGGCAATTGATTAATGATGGTCCATCCCTGATTTCAGGTATATGAATTGGATGGACTAAGATGAGGTTAGGTTTATAAGTGTACTCTCCTCTGAAGGGAGAGCTTTTAAAATCTGTCTGCTTAGCAGTTCCCAACATGGTAGATGATGAAATGGGTTTCAGGATAATCTGAGGAGATAGGGCAGAATCTTTTGCTAGTTCACTACAAATATAAATAGCTGAGTTAGCAAAATTATGGAAAATTTGAGGAAATTATTGTTTAGTGAATTCAAGTGTATTGGATGCCCCAGGTAGACAGACATGGGTTAGCAGAACACTGAAGAACATATGTCTGCCTGCACGCTGGAAATACAGGGAGGTATCCAGGCAGCCAGCCTAAATTCTTGTGTTTTAACAGTAGTATGAGATGATTTAAGTCCAGGATTTCAGTTATAGCCTTCTGAGGGCACTGCACATTCAATATAGTGAATCAGTAAATTAGAAAGGCTCAGTGTGTGCCTTACCGTGATAGGGGCACTTTTAACAATTTTACTAGTTCCTCATAAAATAGAGTGGCTAGTTTAGCATTCCTGTTCTTGAAGTATTACAGTTGATTGGCCTAAAAAATGTGTAAAATAAGGATAAACTCTTAGATTATCTTCTTAGCCATAGTAGAATGGGCAACAATTCCCTATAGAAGAAACAGAGGTGGCTTGATAGTTGGTCTGAAAAATGTTGCCATATCACATGTCTTTTCCCCTCACAAATACGAATCACAGTCCTTCAACTTTGCCTTTAATAACTAAAATGTTTAACAGCTGAAATAAAGTAAGCCTAAGCGGAAAAAGAACGCCTCTCAAAGGTGATGTTACTGTGGTGGTAAGGATAGACATCAGAACTTAAACTGAACAGGTGAGAGACTGGTTCTTGCAAACTTTTTGCAGGGGGAAGGAAGCAATGCCTTGGACGATTGCTAGCAATAATTTGGGAAGGTTCTTTTTAGGCATATGTTGCAATTTTATGACATGCATTGGTGAACAAAAGCTGTTTGTGGTTGAAATGAGGGAAGGAGGAAAGGGAAGTTGTTAGGAATTGCATGAAGTACAATAGATGACATCACACCATTGTAAATTCATGCAGAAGTAATAGTCAAGAAATTGAAGTGAAAATTTTGAGGAGGTGCTTCAATAGGGCTGACCCAGCTTTCTTTGAAGTCAATAAAGATCTTTCAGTTAATTTGAGGAGAGCTAGGTCAAGTCCGGTTGAGCTCCATTTCTTCTCCCAGACAATGAAAGGCTGAGATGAGGCTTCCTAACAGGGGGCAAAAATGTTAAATAGGCCATCAGAAGAATGAAACTACGGGATGTTTAAAACCTCTAAGAAAGCCAATGAAAGTGAGTGGTAATGATCCCAATTTTCCAGAGCGATGATAAATAGTCTAGGATCCCAAGGGACTCTTCCTATGCTGTGTGCTGGCTTTTCTGGAGAAAGGTCAACAAAAATACTTAATACACTAGTGCTACGTTATTTTACAAAGGCAAACAAATATTTTTCCCTGAAGAAAAATATAAATATCTTATGCATATCTAAGCTGTCTCTCTAAGTGAGGTAAAAGTGAGCAAGGATTGTGGTTTACTCTTTCTTTTCCATATAGATGGAAAGCCATAGACATTATTGATGTTTCGAGTGACGGGATGAATTTATCCCATTACTTTTAATGCAGACAAGGTTAGAGCTGAGCCAAAGTACTGTAGATTAGCATGACAGAAGCAATAAACTTGTTCACAGAGCAGCAAAGATGGAGTGAATGAAATGCCTCTCTTACTCTATCTGCAACCCAGAGGCACTTCTGGATGAGGAAGGGTCAGCTAGTGAGCTTTAGCTGATGACACTTTTGTTCTTTTCTGTCTTCAGATCTCTCAGCTTATGACAGAGACTAGTCGAGAGGGCCTGACTGAAGCAGCATTGAACCGCTACAATGCAGATAAACCCTCCATGTACAGCTTCCCTGCTTCCCAGAGCACATATGTTGCCAGTGAAGTATCCACAGGCACCTCGGTGGCAGCATCATTTTTTGCCAGGTAAGAGAGATTTCCTCAGATTTTCCTTCTCTGGAAACAATTTCTTTCAAAGATGATGATTCTGTAGTGAAGAAGTGGGGTTGATAGACTACAGCACACATGTTGAAACATGGCTATAGATACAGATCTATCACAAACTTGCTGAATGATCATGAGAATGCTGTTTTTATCCACCTGTGTTCATTTGTCTATAAGATCGGGATGATACTTCTACCCTCTTCTGTAAAGTATCTTTTAAATTCTTGATTTGGGTTAAAATGTGGTTGCACTCCCAGAATAATATCTGGTTTAGTGATGTTTTGAGGGGTGTATACCTGAATGAGAAGGGCCCATCCAAGTAATTTTGTGAAATAGGCAATTCTTTGTAAAGTCAGCTGGAGGAGGATAGTTCTGTTTGGTGGGTAACCTTTAGGCTTCTTTATTGATTTTTACTTCCATCTAGTGAAATTATCAAGGTTTCCACTTTCAGACTAAAAAAATTAAGGTTTCTGATTTCAGTTTCTGTCCCTGTCATGCTGTTGAATTGACCTGAGAGTCTAAACTTAGCCTCCAAACACCCTTTCTGTTGAATATTCAGCCAATGTTTCAAAAAATCTCAATGAGATAAAGTTTCATTAAAAAAATCTTACAGCTATCTTTATTAATTTTTTAGCAAAAATAGTTTGCTGAATGGGTATAGCAGCTAACAAGTGAAATATCCATTATCAACAACAGAAATATTTTTCTGCACAGAAACATGCTCTTTGCAGAACATAATCTTTTTAGCCCACTTGAATCCTTCTGTAACTGAAGAAGTTGAAATAATCCTTGTCTTTTAATGCTTTTCAATAATTAGAAGATTGGAAGAGTTGTGGATGTAATGAAATAACAAGAGAATAAGCTATTTTTACAGCACTTCCAATCCAATGTAGTGAGAGATCTGAATTTCAAAACATGGAGTGAACTTTTGAGTGAATGCCTCAGGCATATTCAGATTAACTTTCTACCCTTTAGAGAGCCAACTATTAGTAATTCCACATGATTCTATTTTATTTTAAAGGTAAATGGAAAACTTAAAGTTGTTGGTCTCTGTAAATCTGGAAAGAAGATTTTTTTTTTTTCCTGCTCCTATTTTTCCTCACAGACATGAGGAACGCATATGTTCAATCAGTATCACACAATAAGTGGATCATGCAAGAGGATTAAGAGTAGCATTTTTAGAAGAGCCAGTGAACATTGTTTGGGGCAGCTCTGCATTTTTTCTTTACAGATGTGATGCTGCAATAGCAAATGTGAATGATGACAGTGGTCTTGATTTGCTGCCCTTTTCTGTTTAACTGCAGGCAGTTTAAATTAAAATTGCTGAATACACTAATATCTAACCAGAGTGGAGATTAGGATTAGGGCATGTTTTAGCATGAATTGATTTATCAACATGATTTAACTCATTTGTTGTTCATTGTTTCACTGTTTTATGCTGAGAGAATTCATTTGCTCTTAATATACTATGCTGAAATGTAGGAAGCTAATTAAATTTACTCAAAATCCCTAGTGTAAATCACAGCATTCTAAGTAGAACTCTGTTCATTTCTAGCTGATGGTGTGAATTCTTGGGTATGCTTGGCCCAGCAGAGATCTCATGTTTAGGCTGTTTATTTTTACACTGTACTTAGCAAGACAAAAATGCCTGGTTTAGTTTGGGGTATTGCATAATTAGAGTAATATCACTTATATAAGTCAGTCTTGTTCTGGACTTCAAGCTATACCATCTGCTGACAATTCAAGCAGCAAATCCAAGTCAGTCGTTCACTGCCTGACCTTTTCACAAGAAAATCCACAACTTATTTTCAAAATGTGGATATCTCATTAATTTTTGGTTTGCATCTTAGGTGACTATTTGCATTTTTGTAAAGTTGGGGTAAGAAGCGTAAGAACCCACATGTATGTATATTATAAAATATGAAGTAAAAGGTTGTCAAACTCATTAACGCAATGCGCTGTTTACAATATGATAGTAATTTGTACCAGGCATATGAATTCTAAATTTTTGCTTTTTCTGATTGTATGTGGCACATGGAGTAGTGACTACCAGCTATACCTGGCTTTTTTGAACACGTATCACATATGATGTTTTCATGGTCAGTAAGAAATTATTACACAGCCAGGGAAATTTGCTAACGTGAAGCTGAAGTTGGAGGTAGAAGAGTAGAAAATATCCTTTTGAAATTTGAATATCCCACTCTAAGTTCCCTAACAAGCAAAGTAAACCTCACATGAGGCTCAGATACAAAAGTCATCCATCATCAGGAAAAAAAACCCCAATTAACTAAAATGCTACAGTATGGAGGAAATGTCAAGGCATCTATGGGAACTTTTGGTTGTAATTACTTGAGAAACATCAGGTGTGGAATACTGGGAGCTCATAATTTTTCTGTTCTCAGGCACTACTAGTACAACAGTGATACTCACTTGACTGGCCTACAGCTGGCATTGAGCCATGGAGAAGTGTCTGAAGGCCACACTGATTCTCAGTCTTTTGAAAAGCTAGGAGACTTATCAGTTGTTTCAATACTTGACTGTTACGTTTCATGATCTATAGCTGACAGGTTTCCAAGCCAGCTAAAAGGGCTGCAACTTCTGTGAATTGTCATTTGTCGGGATATTGCTGCAAGAGAACTTATGCTATGTCAGGATTCCCATGGGACAGTATGTGAATGTTTTAGAGGAACAAACATTGAAAACTGTCCAAAGAACTCTGCTGATAGGCTTATGAATATTAGATGATACAGGTATGAATAATGAATTTCTAATGGTGATTCTGACACGGAAACTGAATTCAGTCGATTGCACTTTTAATGACAAACACCAAATTTGCCTTGCTGTTCAGGGCTATCACTCATTTTTGTCTCAGATATCCTCCATTCCGTGCTAATTTAAAATCATCTTGCTTCTTACTAGTACACATTTGTGATGAAAGTAATTTAGTGAATGTGAAATAATGGTAAGATTCTTTACACAAAAAGAATAATTCACAAAGCATTTCAGGATTTTTACATGAATTAACTTTTGCCTCCAGTTTGGATCTTTGTCATAACAAGCACTGCATTTTTGGGCCATCGCAGGCTAAGGTGTACTGGCCTCTTGCCCTGTGTCCTCCATGCACAATGTAGGAGTGTGCCACCTCCAGCTGAGAGAGAAGTATATGCTGGCACTGCTGGCAAAGAACTGAGGGAAGGACCTTCTGTCGCTTGTCTCCCTGGTGTCTCTGTGAAGCTCTAGCAAGTCAGGGGATGTTGTACTGAACCTTGTTCCTATCTATGCTGGTTTCTACACGGAGAAAATTTCTGGGACTCTGACTTCAGCTTTGGTCTGACTATAAATAAACCCGCCCTTCTGAATAAAATTCCTCTGTTGTGACTGGGCTGTAGAGTTTCAAAAGGTGATAGCATGGTGCAGGAACTAGAAGGCAAAACTGGACCAGAGCCTTTCAGTTGTCCTTACGGTACCTGAAGGTATTTGGGATCTTGGTACTGTTCCTTGTTTGCCCTGTCACAGTAAGCTTGCTTTCTTGGAGAGGAAAACTTTTATTGCAGCAGGACAAAGGAGAAACATAAAAGCCCATTTGGACCTCAGAAAAGGTAAAAATTTTTGAGAAGGAGATATTTTTAAGTGGTAGTTCAAAAGTTGTTTGGTGTTGCTGGTCAGGAAGTGTAACAGTGTATCTTGAACAAAAGCCTGCCTCAGCCTGAAATTATATATAGTCATATTTGGATTAATTGAACCTAATGGCAATATAGATAATCTTGAAAGTAGCCTGAAAAATCTGTTCTAGGGATCATTTTCTTGTTTTTATGCAGCTTAAACACTAAGCTGGGCCGCACAATGCTACTGTTGTAGAGGTAGTAAGGCATGTTTTTCAAATGAAATGCAGAAATGTCAAGGTTTTTTAAAAACTTCTTATTTTGAGACAAAATAAGAATAGAAAACCTACTCAGCATGGGATAAGCTCTAGTTACAGTTTCCTCCATTCTTGGAAAAACTGCTGGTGACCTTTTCCACACTCATTCCCCATCCCCGTGTGGTTTGGCAGCTAGGCGAGGGGAGGTGAGGCAGTGCCCTACTGCTAAGGGGTATTGTGAATATTGTGTTCAAAATGCTGCTGAATGCTCCACAGATTTTCGTTCCACTCCTCAGAATCTCTTTTGAATCTTTTAAAAAATTCTGGTATGTATTGCATGAACTAAGAAGCTTATATGAGGACATTATTTGTGGGACCCTCATGTTAAAGTCGCTGTGCTGTTTTGATGACTTGGCACTCCAGAGGTCCCAGAATCTCATGCCTTGCTGTTTTTTCCACACACATGATAAACTATCAGCTTATCACACAACTTTTGGTGTTTGCTGGTTTTCCTTAAGGGTGCAATTTTATGTGACTTTTGTTGAAATTTAAAGGAAGGAGCTAGTCTGTGCAATCTTTCTGCTTATGGGCAAAATTTTTAAAGCCCAAAGGTTTAGAATCCAGGAAACCCAGGGCTTTTCCTTAAAAACTGTGTATCGTTTTAAATTAATCATACCATTTTAAGGTCCTGGCTTGAATTTTTCAGAGGTCTGGGGGAAGTTCACAAAAACAAACTTTTCCTGGCATCGCAACAGAGGGTTTGTTGGAACATGCGCAGCAAAAACAGGTAAGAAACAGAGGCAGCAGCTAGAAGAGAAGGAAATGGGTTGGAGTGGGTATTCATGTACCACAGAGCCCAGCTTTGGCTTGGGAAGCTCCACAGCAGAAACATTTGATTTGTGTCAGTAGTCTGGCTGTAGCTGGTGTAGCTGAAACGTTGCACTAGCAGATGTGGAGCCAGGTCAGGAATCTCCTCTTGACGCTCCTGTAATTTGTGGAGGTGCACAGCAGGCTGGGCAGGCACACCCAGTGCGTTGGTGCTGCCGAGGCCCGAGACACGTCACAGGAAAGAGCCTGTGAACGTTGTCAGAGAGTGAAAGCTGCTTGTCCTATGCTCTGTACC